TCCATCCCTCTCTCTCTCCTCTACCTCTCCCCCTTCTTTCTCCATCTCTCCCCATCTTTTCGTCTTTCTCTTTTCATACTCCCCTCTCCTCATCTCTCCCCATCCCTCTCTCCTCCTCCTCTGCTCTCCCCATCTCTATCTCTCCCCTTCCATCCCTCTTTCTCTCCCTCTCCCATCCTTCCCTCTCTTCCTCTATTCACGCTCCCCTCTCCTTGTCTCTCTCCTTCTCCTCTATCTCTCCCCATCCCTCTCTCTCTCCTCCGCTCTCCCCATCTGTCTCTCCCCCTTCCCTCTTTCTCTATTCACGCTCCCCTCTCCTCCGTCTCTCCCCATCCCTCCCTCCCTCCCTCTCCTCTATCTCTCCCCGTCCCTTTCCGCCTCCTCCGCTCTCCCCTTCTTTCTCTCTCCCCTTCCCTCTCTCTTTCTCCTCTATATTCCCATCACTCTGCTCCTCTCTCCCACTCTGTCTCCATTTTTATCTCCCCCTTCCATCCCTCTCTCTCTCCTCTACCTCTCCCCCTTCTCTTTCTTTCTCCATCTCTCCCCATCTTTTCGTCTTTCTCTTTTCATACTCCCCTCTCCTCATCTCTCTCCTCCTCCTCTGCTCTCCCCATCTCTATCTCTCCCCCTTTCATCCCTTTCTCTCCCTCTCCCATCCTTCCCTCTCTTCCTCTCTTCACGCTCCCCTCTCTTTCTCCTCCATCTCTCCCCATCTCTCTCTCTCTCCCCATCTGTCTCTCCCCTTCCCTCTTTCTCTATTCACACTCCCCTCTCCTCCGCTCTCCCCATCCCTCCCTCCCTCATGCTCCCCTCTCCTCCATCTCTCCCTCCCTCATGCTCCTCGCCTCTCCTTTCCGCCTCTCCGCTCTCCCTTCTTCTCTCCCCCTCCTCTCCTCCCTCTCTCTCTCTCCCCCGTCTGTCTCCATCTCCCTCTCTCTCCTCTACCTCCACACTTCCCTCTCTCTCCTCTACCTCCACCCTTCCCTCCGTCTCCTCCATCTCTCTCCCATCCTTCCCTCTCTTCCTCTATTCACGCTCCCCTCTCCTCCATCTCTCTCCCCTCATCCCTCTCTTCCTCTCCTCCTCCCTCACCCCTCTCCCGTCCGTCCAGTCCTCCCACTCACGCTCCATTAAACATTTAGTGAGGCGCTCCGGATCCATGTGACACCGTCTTTTAGTCCCGTCACACTAAACCTACGAAACACACACACACACACACACACACACGCGCCGACCCTCACGGCGTTCCCCAACTTCCAACCGCTATTCCCACATTTTTACCCTGCTTAAAAGGTCAAAAAAAACAACAACAAAACCACAGCCCGGGATGTAAATGACTGAGTATCGATCCTCGGGTTTGTGCGTGTGTGTTTATAGTTGCAGAATGTGAGTGTGTGTGTGTGTGTGTGTGTGTGTGTGTGCGCTCGGGTTTGTGTGGAGAAGAAGAGGCTCGCTGGTGCAGAGCAGGGAGTGTCCCAGCCAATGCAGTAAAAACGCCACAGAGGGCTGCTTTCCTGACATCATAAAAAAAAAAAAAAAAAAAAAAAAAAAAGGGACATTTACGGAATTAGAATTGAGACGTACTTAGGTGTAACGGCGAGGATGGACGACGGGAAACGAGAGACGGGGGACGAAGACGAGACGGTTGTGCTGTAATTACAACGTGGAGCTGAGCCGGCGTTGCATTACAGACAGAAACCGGCGCGGTAAAAGGTGCACCGTGTAACTTTTCTGGTGCTTCCGCGCTGCTCGTTTCCATGGGAGACGTGACTGCGTCGCTTGAAAATTTCCCACGTGGCCTTAAACTTGTCAATCTGCACTTCCACGTTATTTCTACAGCACGTTTAATAAACACGACAGTTTCCAAAGTGCTGCACAGACACATTAGTGCAACACCTGCATCCTGAATTTCGGACTTCCGGTCATTGCGCAGTGCAGTGCAATGTACTGGGAAGGATCCTCCGGAAAAGTGAGAATCAAATCAACATGTTTGATTTCCCAGTGGGATGCGTCTATAGTCAAAGTCGATCTTTTCAAGTCTTTTGAACCATATCGCTTTTGTTTCTGGTTCTCATATTGTCATGTTTTAGTTTTGGGATTCGGGCATCGTAATTGTGTGGTTGTTGGATCCTAACAGCGGAAAACTGGCTTCGGAAGTTTGCGGACTCCATAAATGCAAAAGGGAATCAGATGTGTGTGACTGCAAAACTCTGTTCAAACTGTTTCTCTTCACAACAGAATTGAAAAATGGTGAAAGGCGAAGGCGATGGGCAGGATTGATCCACGGGAAGAACCAAAAAGGAAACCGTTGGCTGCCTAAATCATCCCGAGTTTGCAGTAAACATTTTGTATGTGGAGCTCCAACATGGCAAAATCCCGTTTGTTAAGCGAGAAGAACAGAAGACAAACAGACTGAGCTGCACTTTCTTGTTCTTGTGGTTTTACAGCAACATCACGTCTTGGTCTCTTTGCAGTGGAAGGTGTTTCTTGGTGAACAGTTGGTGCCTTTTGCTTTGGCGTTGACTTTTTAAATTCGTAACCAAAGGCGAGGGATCGAGATTTTGCTTTGTTGGCTCCACAAACAAAATGTTCGCTGCAAACTCGGGATAATTTCTTAGGCAGACAAAGGTTTCCTTTTGTGTGCTTCCTGTGGATCAGTCCTGCCCCTCGCCTTCGCCTTTCACTAATTTTCAATTCCGTTGGGAAGAGAAACAGTTTGAACGGAGGTTTGCAGTCACACAGATCTGATTCCCTTTTGCATTTATGGAGTTCGCAAACTTCCAAAGCCCATTTCTCGAGCCGTTTTCCGCTGTTAGGATCCAACAACCACACAATTACAATGTCCAAATCCCATGACTAAAATATGACAATATCAGAAATGACGGTTTGATGCTCACTTTTTCAGAGGACCCTTCCCAGCATGCATTGCGTGACGACCGGTAGTCCGAAATTCAGGATGCATGTATTAAAGATCGTCATGCTGTGTCAAAAACCAGAAAGTACAAATCAGGGTCTTAAGACGAAACTTAAAAACACTTTGAGGGCAGTTCGGACGTAGACTTAGTTACTTACAATTAGCGAGATTGCCTCTCCACAGATCTGACCTGTGACTTGGCCTTGTGGCATCACCTGCTTGTCTCTATGGATCCAATTAATAATTTGTTATACTGCAGAACATTTTTGGCAAAGCAGTAGCGTCTCCATGGAGCTGGTGGTTTACACCCTGCACCAGAAAATGAACATACTGCACCTTTAGTAACACTGTCTTTGATATAAAACATATTTTATAACACAAAGAAGAAAGTGTTCAGTCCAGGTAAATGCATGTTTTATTATAATTAATCATGATTTCAGTTACCAGTGAAATTATTGATTTCTCAGCGGCTCGACTTTTAACTTTTAAGCCGGAAACACAAAAGCATCTCACCTATTTTAGCCTCTCTCCATTAGGTCCCAGTGTGTTTTACAGTTGAGTTCTATTTACCCTTTTCTTTGATTTAACTTTAAGTGTTTGCACAGCCTAACATCCTCCGACCTCGCTGACCTGATCCACCCTTACACCCCCCCTCCCCTTTAGTGGCCGTACAAGTTTGTCAAAGCCTGATCCCGTCAGTTCTCAGAGGCTCAGCAGGGCCGGGTCTGGTTAGTACTTGGATGGGAGACCGCTGGGAAAATCAGGTGCCACAGGGGGGCGCCAGTCACAAAAACTGTTGTTGGGTCCTTAGGCAAGACACTTCACCCACATTGCCAAGTATGAAAGTAGTGTGTGTAAGAGTGTTGGTGGTAATCGGACGGATCATTGGTGCTGATTGGCAGGGTATGAATTGAAAAAAAAAAAGCGTCTTTGTGACATGTCTGTGAAAAGCGCCATATAAATCAATACTTACTAACTTACTCTTGCACTCTCAGGTCAGCAGACCAGCTCCAGCTCACTGTCCCAAAGACTAAACTAGTCTAGGGATGTTAAAATAACCAAAATCTCGTGATGTCTTATCGTCAAAGTTCTCAAAATAATATCGTGGACCATCACAATATATCGAATTACAAGTCTCTTTGTTTAAATGAAGAGTTATGGTGCAGCAATAGCTAAAAGAAAAAAAAGACAGACAGAACTACATAGACCACAGGTGTCAAACATACGGCCCGGGGGCCAGATCCGGCCCTCCAAGATCTTTAATCTGGCCCTCGGCTGATTTTCTACAAAAATATTTCAATTATTAAACTATTATTTATTATTATTATTTTTTTAATTATTATTATTATTATTATATACTATTATTATACTATTAAAATTGTTAATTTTCTGCGGTGCTGAGCAGAGCAGCGTCTCCAGTGTCTCTGTACGTGGCCCCTCCCACCAGAGCAGCACAAATGAAGACTTGTCTCTTTCCAAACGCTCTTAAAGGACGATCGTTTTGACTGTTGACCGTGACACCCTCATCAGAAAAATGTCCAAAATGAGAAAAGTGGAGCCAAGTGCAGGATTTTCCCAACAAAAATGGACTTATTCCTATTTACATACAAGTTAATGTTAAAACATTGTGTTGAAATTACATTTTTCTTAAAGTTTCAGGTTGTTTATAATATTATAATATTTTGTAAAAGAAAGAGTTCATCAATTAAAACAGATTTCTGTAATAGATTTGTGTTTCTCTGCACAAATACTTGAACTTATTGCTATTTTTGGGGTTTATATGACATGAGTTTTCTGATCCGGCCCCTTTGGGATTAGAGTAGGTTGGACACGGCCCCCGGACCAAAATGAGTTTGACACCCCTGACACAGACCATGATCCTTTGCTCCATTTCAGTGCAGACGACAAGAAGAAATAACAGTTCTAGTTCTTTGGATTAAGTCTTGTCAAAGCATTTTAACAGTTTTAGATGTTTAACCTCCACAAAATATCACAATAAATATCGTACCGTGAGATGTTTATCGTGAAAATATCGTACAGAGAGATTTGGATATTGTTGCATCCCCTAATCGTGAGCCTCGCCAACATATCGTGAGGTTTCCCACGATATCGCAGTAAATATTGCACCGTGACAATATCGTATCGTGACACTCGGATATCGTTACACCCCAAATGTGGATTGTGCGTTTTCTGTTGCGGCGGAGTCTGGAGTCTGTACCTGTTTTTAAATCACTCTTAAAACCGCACTTTCTTTCACTGTGACATGTACGTTTCTTGTGGCTGAGTATCTTATTGTTTTCTATGTTTTTTAGTAGTTGTATTGTGACTTTGCCTGCGACTTTGTCCTTGTCTGTTCTGTGTTTGTGTTCAGCACTTTGGCCCGTCGTTAAGTTTTTAAAGAGCTTCATAAATAAAGTCGGTATGGTATTTCTGCTCTACAAATCAAGACTAAACACCACACACTAAAACAATTAACAAGTAAGTTATAAGTACAGTTATAATTGAAATGCATTCCATAAACCAGAAATATTGAACACAGACTTGAAATGATCCAGTTCAGCATTTTAGAATTGACTTTTTGGACATTTCAAGGCAAAGTACAACATAATCAAAACGGGAAAATCTGTCTCTTGAACCTCCATCTGAGAGTACGGCATCAACCGCCAATATACAGTTAGTAATCCTTCGCCCACAAACCAAAAGGTCCCCAGTTTGACTCCAGTCCGAGCTCAAACTGTTGTTGTGTTTGTGGTACTTCAGCGCACTTCACCCACTCCAGCTCCGAACTGCATCTGGTCACGACAGGAGCTGGGCCAAAATTTCCAAATCCCTAAACAATGAAAAAGAGCGCTATTTAACGATGCAACTTTTGTAGTAGAGGGTCAACCCGTCTCCATGGCGATGTTACTGCTTTGCGTGGAAGGTTTCACAGGACGGCATTAATCTATCTACCTTCATGGAGACACGTATGTAACATCACTGAGCAAGTTTACAGGTCAGATCTGTAGAGAAAACATTTTCAGGGCATTACTGAATGAAAAAACAAAACACATAAACATTAACGTTAACATTAGTATTACCATATTTTCCGGACTATTAGACGCGCTCTTAAACCTTCTACTAGGGATGGGCATTCGATGAAATTTTCTTAATTTTCTTCGGAAGAATTAACGATCGATTAATCATTAACGTTTTTATATTAAAATGATCATCATTGTTATTACTATATGCACTGCATAAATAAATTCAACTTTACAACAAATAAACCGTAACGACTCTAGAGCCACATCATCGCGTTTATTATAATGTGTCTAATTCAGTTTTGCGCAAATCTCACAGAAACTAAACTTAAAACTGCATCGCTAATTTGCATAAACTCAGCGAAGATAAAACTACAGCTCTTGTGTCGCTGATGTGGTTCAATTTCTGTTGGATTCTCAGGTGAATACAGGTTAGTGTGACCATATTTGCGTTTGTCAAAACCAGGACAGCGTACGGGGGGAGGGAGGTGGGGACTCGTCATCGACATTGTGCGACTCTCACCTGGTAAAACTTTTTCCCACTGGACACCGAAACATATGTGCTGCTTTATACACTGTGCACATGGACTCACACTTGTCCCGACCGGAATGTAAAGAGTGGAATTTCTTGTACAAGTCATTGTTAAATACACATATGCACTTCGGTACGTTGCAGACTGACCGACTGTTTGTGTTTTGCTCGCTCCTTCTGAGTGCAGAGAGACTACATGTACTGACCCCTGTTTGGTCAGGCTACGCACAGCAACCTGCATTCGGTTTGTCGATTAAAATTAACGTAATCGATGAAATTCTTAATGATCAATTATCGATTAATCGACTAATCATGACCATCCCTACCTTCAACCCCATCAAAAAACGACTGCGCGCCCCCAATCCAGAGCGCCCTATACACGAATCCACTCGGGTGTCCCAGCACGACTTCAGTAAACTACAAACACCTGCAGAACAAGCAGACAGCGACCGCACAGCGAAACACACCCACAGACACACTCATCACTCCACGCCGACGAGGAACGGAACGGAGGAACGAACCGAAAAAGCGAGTGCAATGTGTCACTTCTAGACACGACTGAACAACTGAGTCACTGCGAACACGCCGACAATCCGTTGGTCCCAGACAGCACCCTCCCTACACGCCACAACTGAACAAAGCCCAGAGTCACCGTGAACGAACAAACAAACAAAACCACTCACCCATCACACTGTTGTGTTTCCTTTAAAGTCCGGTGAGGTTTATTTGTGAAAAAAGTTCGAAAATAGACCATTTAATGACAGTGCGCCTTATAATCCAGAGCGCCTAATAGCCCGGAAAATACGGTAGTTTGTACGACCGTGAACACAAACAAAAAAAATCCTTACATTTTTTTCTACGATCATAAACAATAAACTTTTGCATCTTCGTTAACATTAGTATTAGATTGTACGACCGTAAACGCAAACAAAAAAATCTTTAAATTTTTTCCATTCTCTTTACGGTTTAGTTTCTACGATCATACGTGATAAACTTTTGTGTCTTCGTTAACATTACTATTAGTTTGTACAACCATAAACGAAACAAAACAGAAAACAAATCAAAGCTGCCATCTTTTTAAAAAAAAAAGAAGATTAAAAACTAAGAAAAAATGTGATTATATTTCTGTTAGAGGGGTTAGTTTATGGAACAACCTGAATGATGAGTATAAAGCGTTATGTTTTGAAAGATATAGAGACCTGGAATGAATGAATTATGCATTAAATTCTGTTTGTTCTGACTAGGGATGGGCATGATTAATCGATTAATCGATAATTGATCATTAAGAATTTCATCGATTATGTTAATTTTAATCGACAAACCAAATGTAGGTTGCTGTGCGTAGCCTGACCAAACAGGGTCTGTACATGTGTCTCTCTGCATCAGAAGGAGTCAGTCTGTAACGTACCGAAGCACAAATGTGTATTTAACGATGATTTGTACAAGAAATTCCACGCTTTCTGTTGCGTTCGGGACAAGTGTGAGTCCATGTGCACAGTGTATAAAGCAGCACATATGTTTCGGTGTCCAGTGGGAAAAAGTTTTACCAGGTGAGAGTCGCGCAATGTCGATGACGAGTCCCCACCTCCCTCCCCCCGTACGGTGTCCTGGTTTTGACAAACGCAAATATGGTCACACTAACCTGTATTCACCTGAGTCATGTCTTTTTTATGCAAATTAGCGATGCTGTTTTAAGAGAGTTGTGCAAAACTGCATTAAACACATTATAATGTCAAACGGGCTGATGTGGCTCTAGAGTCGTTACGGTTTATATGTCGTAAAGTTGAATTTATTTATGCAGATTAGTAGTGCAGATAGTAATAATAATGATGATCATTTTAATATAAAAAACATTAATGATTAATCGATAATCGATCGTTAATTCTTCCGACGATCGATTAAGAAAATTTCATCGAATGCCCATCCCTAGTTTTAACTCATATTTTGTCTCCCATGTGCAGTTGTAAATGCAAACTGCTATCTTTTCTTTCTTGGAATTCTGTTATTGTTTAATAGAGTTTGGTACTTTTGTTTTAGCTTGGACCCTTTCTGTCATGATCCAAGGAGTTGTGGAAACATAAACATAAATGCACAGACGGCAGAACTTTCAAGGTAAAACAATAACATCACTACAGAGACAAGCTGACGCCAAAAAAGTTCCATAATGCACCTTTAAGAAGAAAGAAACAAGAACGTGTCCCTTAAAGGTGCATCCATTGTGTAACTTTTCTGCCGGAGGGTTCGTCAAACGCTTTTCTCCATGGAGATGTTGTTGCTTTGTCTGGAATGTTTCACAGTATGGCATTAAACCTTTCTATCTTCATGGAGACCAAACCGGAGCAAGTTACAGGTCAGATCTGCGGAGAGGCGACGCCGCTCACAGTCAGAATCCCTGTTTTTCAAGGTATTTTTGAGCTATAAAACCACCTGTAAGTAAATAAATGTAAAGTAGACCTGTTTAAAGGTTGTATGGAGGATTTTTTTTTGTTTCAAACTGTCAGTGAAAGATTAAAATACCATTACAGAGACGCAGCAGCTTTGTAATTATGATGACCAAAAAAAAAAAAAGAACGAAAATCTATCAACTGTGGACATAGTGAGGCCAGATAAACATCAGCCAATAGAAAACAAGGCTCCCTCAGTTTCTATTGGCTGTTAGGTTGTCAATCAAACTCCCTAGTGTAACTGACTCATTGGAGCGCGGGGATTACGTTGTTTACGCAGCGGTTCTTAGAGGCTTTTTCGAACTGTCGCTTCCTCGCATTTCGCGCAAAGTTTGTCGCGACGGCGGACGAGAATCCACGACTGGTTCGCCGCAAAAGAAAGTCCGTTTTTGAGGTCGCTGAAAGAAGAAGCGAAGAGGAAAAGGAGCAAAGCCAAACTGAGGTGATTCTTGGAGATCTCGTCCAGCGATGGCGCGACTGAAATAGACGAAGGGTCTAAAAACTGACGCGTCGGTCGCTGAATTACTTCTAAACAGGAAACTTCAACAGTAATTCTGAATGCGCACAAGGACTGTCGCTGTATTTCTCTTCCCTTAAAAAAATCCTCTATACAACCTTTAATATGATACTGTGGAATATTCCAGGCAGAGCAACGACGTCTACATATAGAAGCAAGCAGAAAAAAGTTACACAGTGCATCTTTAAAGGACTCTATGGATCATTTGACCAGTGCTAAATCAATAGTGTAACAGGGGCTAGAGCAGGAACAAACTTATCAATGGACAAGGCAGAGGATGTGTACATTAGTTTAACCTTTCAGACTGTAAATGTCAATTAAACTAGAAAAACAAGTCAAACCCAAGACTCAAACAGCTTCCAGTAAACAATCTGAGAAGCTTATGACCTCTTTATGTCTTTCTATAGGCTCATAGTACCAAAGACGGTTTATTAAAGGAGCCCATATTATGCTGTTTTCTAGGCAAAAGTATTGAAATATCGATATATAATAACGTTTAATTTGATGATACAGTATCGATATTGTGGGCTGCTGTATCGATATATCACCAAGAGTATTTTTAGGTATATTTTACTCAGTTATTTAGTGTAAGAGCTACAGTTGTGTTGACATTTTTTCTGTTTTGATGAGTAAAATTGGTGTTTTTCAAATTAACTTTGCACAAACTTTCTAAACTTTTAGTATCACAGCCAACATTTAGGCTTTGTTTTTCAGATCGTTTTGAAATATATCGTATCGAACTGTATTGGAATGAAAGTGCGCTGTATCGAAAAGCGTATCGTATCATGGCCTGTGTATCGAGGTATGTATCGTATCGGCAACTTCTTAACGATACCCAGCGCTACTGTTTTCTGTATTATAATGTTGTTTCCTCATCACGAACACGAAAACCCTGTTTAAGACGACCACCTGAGCTCTCATTCTGTTTGCCTGACGAAAACCTTGTGCCGAAAAGTTGCGCGGTTTCTCCTAATAAATCTCACAATTTGCAAGTAAGACGGTGTGCAGGATTTTTCTCTATGTTCTTAGAATAAGTGAAATAAAACTAACCTTTTGCGTCGCACGTTGAGGGACTATTTTCTCATATATCAGTCCGCCGCTGCTGAGCTTTCTATCAGGAAGAACAACTCACTGCTGCTGCTCAGACATAAATCCTTCAAATGCAAGATTGGTTTTGCTTCTAAAATTATTCTATCAACACAGACATTTTACATGGACAGTCTGGTGTAATAATAGATTTTCTTCGGGTGTTTTGTGGAGTGGGTAAGACTGTTTTTAGTGACAGGAAAACTATGACCATTGACATGCACTAGTCTAACACCAGTGACCTCTGCAAATACAAGGACTGGATGGAATATTTTAAAAAAAGTGTCTCCACACGTCTCCAACACTCTGGATCACGAGGAAATTAGGTCCTACGTCCAAAATTCCGGACTGTCCATTTGATTTTCCATAATATAGGACCTTTAAGTTATATAAGTTATTGATTTGGAGTAACTACTACTTTATTGCCCCCATATTTGACCACTGTCCGCCTGTTTTTCTAGGTATTTTTGAGCTATAAAACCAACTGTAGTTTAATAAAAGTAAAGTAGAGCTGTTTAATGTCACACACGTCACATGTGAACATTCCAGGCAGAGCGATGACATACTGTATGACAATGACACTAGATCGATGACAGTGCCGACTTATTATAGAATACATTCAACCTAAACCGTGGATTAACCAAAACCAATAAGGAAATACAACAGAACGTAAAACTATTATGTCTAATAATAGGCCAACCTAGATAATGATTGCAACTCTAAGATGGGGTTGAACAATGACTTAGGGATTAAACTTGACACAAAAATGGCCTAAGTATTTTATTATATTACATTAGGGTGACCAGAATTTCAAAATAAAAAAACTGGGGCACTCTCAGTTTGGGATGGTTGGTAATAATAAAACTGTGAAATGAGTACGTAAGGAAAAATGTAATGCACTTGGTCAGTCAGTATAGTCACATTTTCTTTACGTTTTAGTAATTTTTAAGCAGCTTTTCTGTATTTTACCGACACAAATGACAGTTTATGCTTCTCTTTAATGTTCACAGGGATCAGATTGGTCAAAAATAGGGATAACTGGGACATTTCTTGTATAAAACTGGGACAAATCAATAGTTTTGGATAAATCTGCTGAGACAGGGGACACAGAGCTCAAAACTAGGACTGTCCCGGGTAAAGGTAAGGGTAAGAGACGACTAATTATCCTATATTACATTGAATCAGATGCTTTTACATCTTAAATAGTGGATCAATGACAGTGTTGGCACATAAAGTCAGTCTAAATCAAGACATAATCAAAATAATTAAGAAAATTAAAAAGTAAAACTGCAAAGTCTAATAAAAGGCTAATCTAGATAATGATTACAACTATAATATGGGGTTGAACAATGATTTAGGGATTAAACTTAGACACAAAAATGTCAGGAGTATTTTATTATATTACATTAGAGTGACCAGAATTTCAAAATAAAATACTGGGACACTCTCAGTTTGGGGTGGTTGGTAATAATGAAAATTGTTATGCATTTGGTGAGTCGAATATTCATATTTTCTTTGTGTTTTGGTCATTTTTAAGCAGATTTTTTTAAATTTTACTGAAACAAATGGCAGTTTATGCTTCTCTTTACTGTTGGCGGGGATCAGATTGGTCAAAAATAGGGACACCTGGGACATTTCTTATATAAAACTGGGACAAATCAGTAGTTTTGTATAAATCTGCTGGGACAGGGGACACAGGGCTCAAAACTTGGACTGTCCCAGGTAAATAGGGACGTCTAGTCACCCTATATTACATTAAATCAGATGCTTTTAAAGCTTAAACTGTGGATCAATGACAGTGTTGGCACATAAATTCAGTCTAAATCAAATTATAATCAAAATCTTTAAGAAAATTAAAAAGTAAAACTGCAAAGTCTAATAATAAGATAATCTAGATAATGATTAAAACTATAATATGGCTTTGAACAATGATTTAGGGATTAAACTAGTCACAGAAATGTCAGGATTATGTTATTTTATTACATTAGAGTGACCAGAATTTCAAAAGGAAAATTGTTATGCACTCAGTGAGTCAGTATAGTCACATTTTCTTTATGTTTTGGTCATTTTTAAGCAGCTTTTTTGCATTTTACAGACACAAATGACAATTTATGCTTCTCTTTACTGTTGGCAAGAATCAGATTGGTCAAAAATAGGGACAACTGGGGAATTTCTTGTATAAAACTGGGACAAATCGGTGGTTTTGGATAAATCTGCTGGGACAGGAAGCACAGGGCTCAAAACTGGGACTGTCTTTGGCAAAAAGGGGCGTCTAGTCACCCTATATTACATTAAATCAGATGCTTTTACATCTTAAATAGTGGATCAATGACAGTGTTGGCACATAAAGTGAGTCTAAATCAAGATATAATCAAAAATGATTAAGAAAATTAAAAAGTAAAACCGCAACGTCTAATCAAAGGCTAATCTAGAAAATGCTTAGAACTATAATATGGGGTTGAACAATGATTAAGGGATTAAACTTGACACAAAAATGCTTGGAATCCTGTTTGTGGGAGCTATTTTCAGCCATTCCTAAATCATACCTGCTTTAACTTCACTTCAAAGTGCTGTGGTGATGTCTTGACACTACGCGCTTGCGGGAATTTCTTTCTTTGTCTAAACAAGGCAAAGAATTCAGCTACATCTCCCACATTTTGAACGTTTCAGGTCCAAATCTCACGCTGGCTCCTGCTGCTCGCTGCTGCTGCCTGCTGCTCGCTGCTGCTGCCACACTGCTGCATGCGTAATCCTCGCGAGATTTGGCCACCTCTCCTCCACCCACCGCCTCCACTCCGCGCCCCTCCCGTCGCCTCTCTGCGCCGCTCCGCTCGCCCGTGTGCATTGCATTGCCTGTCAGAGAAGAGAAGCTACTCACTCCAATTGAAGAGCTAGGGAGGTCAGGCTTCACCCTCTCTATCTCTTTTTTCTTTTCCTCCTTCCCCGGACCCTAAAGCCGACCGGCCGTGCCAGCTCCACCGATCCACACCAGGCGACCCCAGCAACCACCTACCACCTCGCCGACCTCCTTTTAGTTTTTTAACCCAGCCTCGGGCTCCCCTTTCTCGGCTCCGAACCATGGCTACCACCGCTACTTGCACCAGGTTCACGGATGAATACCAGCTGTACGAGGAGCTTGGAAAGTAAGCAGTGAACATCGTGTGTGTGTTGTCTTGCCTTGCCGTGTAGTCACCCCCACACCCTCGCCTTTCCTCGCCAAGTATTATCCTCTCTTAGCCTCTTAGCTTGCTATATTGACTCGTAAATCCAATGCATTTTGATTAGGAACGCCGAACATTGCGATTTAACCCGGGCGATCGTCGTGGAAGTGTGCGCTTTTACGCGTCAGGGCACCGCGACTAGCCTGCGAAGCTACGTACCACGCTTTGGAACACAGTTAGCTTCTTAGCGTTTGCGTCTGTCTAGTCGCTAATAGTGATGAATGCGCTGCGAAGAGATTGGCGCATTAAAACCGGCGCTAAACCCCTTGGCAGTTCGGGCCTTCCCGGAGCGTGACAGCGGGGTCCCGGGGAGGCTTAAGCCCGCGGACGGTGCGCCGGGCCCGGGGTGGATTTTGACAGTTCCGTGCCCGGAGACAGACGCACAGGCGCGGGGTGAGGAGAGGAGAGGAGAGCAGGCTCCGGTGGCCTCGCTGGTTAAACTAGGCCGGCCACTTTTTTCCCCGGCAGCTGCAGTTAATTTGTGTAACCGTGTGCGTGCTGCTCTATCTCTGAATGACATTTGACAAGATGGTAAAATTGATCTTAACGCCGTGTTTGTGTGATTGAGCCACGGCGAAGCGAGGGGCGGACCGTGGATTCTTTGTTGTGGATCGTGTCATAACAGCTATGTTGAGTGGGCGTGCAAAATGCAATAAAATCGTGTGGTAATGTGCTGTAATATTAATCTCAAACGCAACGCAATGTATGCAGATTCCCAGATGATGTTATTTGGACGAGTGCTGCTGCTGCTGCTTCTTCTTCTTCTTCTTCTACGCCCACTTCCATTCGCTGTGCATGAAATTCTATGTAATTTTCTTGCATACTCGTGCAGTTTTGTAATAGCCAAAACGGATTACAAAAGCTGCAGTCAAATGATATGCATGCCTCAATGTACGAGTCATAGATCGACAATTACGTGTGATTAGAATAACGCAATATCTGGGCTTGAAAAAAATGAGGAGTTCAATTGCAAAAACAGATCTACAGTTTAAAAAAATAACACTTTAAGGCAGTTTTCAGAGTGGTAATGCCTAAATGCACATGGTAATGTCTAAATTTGATAGTCATAGATTGACAATTGCAAGTGATTAGAATAACGCAGTGTCTGGGCTTGAAAATTTTGGGGAGTTCAATCGCAAAAACATACTTACTTTTATACATACTTGCTTTTTAATTTTTTGTTTTGTTTTTTTACCATTTTCTAGAGATATTAACAGTGGTAATGCCTAAATTTGCTTGTCATAGATCAAAAATTGCAAGTGATTAGATTAACACAATGTCTGAAAATGAAAATTTTGTGGAGTTCAATCGCAAAAACATACCTAAGTTTTTAAAAATTGTACCAAAACATACCTACGTTTTGGTACAATTTTCTAGAGATATTAGCTATAGTAATGCCCTAATTTACTTATCATAGATCAACAATTACACGTGATTAGAATAACGCAATGTCTGGTCTTGAAAATTTTGTGGAGTTCAATCGCAAAAACATACCTACCCTTTGAAAAATTGCAGAAAAGTGTTTTTCTTAGCATTTCTAGAAATTTCAGCAATTGTAATGCCTTAATTTACTCGTCATAGATCAATATTTACATGTGATTATAATAAAACAATATCTGATCTTGAAAATTTTGATTAGCTCATTTGCAAAAACAGATCTGTGTTTTGAAAAATTGCCAAAAAATGTTATTTTTTATTACCATTTTTTAAAAGAGATATTAACAGTGGAAATGCCTAAATTTGCTTGTCATGAATCGACAATTACATATGATTAGAATAACGCAATTTTGAGTTCAATTGCAAAAACATGTTTAATTTTGAATAAATGGCTGTAAAGTCTTTTTTTTATTGTGTTGTTGCCATTTTCTAGAGATATTAACAGTGGTAATGCCAAAATTTGATAGTCATAGATCAACAATTACATGTGATTAGAATAATGCAATATCTGATCAGATATATACATCAGATCTATGTTTTGATAAATTGCCAAAAATTTTTATTTTTTTGTTACCATTTTCTAGAGATATTAACAATGGCAATGCCTAAATTTGCTAGTCATAAAAAACAGCATTACCATATGCCTAAAATTTATAGTCATAAATAGACAATTACATGTGATTAGAATAACACAATATCTGGAGTAGAAAAATTTGAGGAGTTTAATCGCAAAAACAGATCTACAGTTTGAAAAAATGCCACAAAGTGCAATTTTCTAGAGACATCAGCTATGGTAATGCCTAAATTTGCTCACCATAGACCAAGAATATATGTGATTAAAATAACATGCAATATCTGGTCTTGAGAAAATGGAGTAGTTCTATAGCAAAAACATATCTACGTTTTGAAAAACTGCAGAAAAGTGTTGCCTTAATTTACTCATCGTAGATCCACAATTACACGTGATTAGAATAATGCGATATGTGGGCTAGAAAATTCTGAGAAGTTCAAACGCAATAACAGATTTACATTTTGATAAATTGCCAAAAGGGTTTTATCTTTTGTTTTGTTTTAGTTTTCTCATTTTCTAGAGACATGGTAATAATCAGTGATGGGAAGATTACTTTGAAAAATGAATTTGAATACAGAATACTGAATAAATGAATTAAAGTAACATTTTCTGATACATGGTCCAGTCAGAGTACTGCGTTCTGAATACTTTAGAGCGCTTTTACATCAAGTTATATTCAAATTATAGTGTAGAGACAAAATTTAGGACACAAACCAGCTTTATTTTATTTACGCATTTATTTATCACTGATCAGAGATTGAAAGATCACACTGACACGCACCACAAGAGGAGAAGTTTCTATTTTAAAGTGGCATTGTGTAACTTTTCTAGTGCAGGGTCCGTCAAATGCCTTGCTTTCTCTGGTATGTTTCACAGTATGTTTAACCAGGCCTGATCTGTGGAGAGGCGACCTCATTCACAGCCAGAATCCCTGTTTTTTGAGGTATTTTTGAGCTGTAAAACCACCTGTACTTAAATAAACGTAAGGCAGAGCTGTTTAATGTCACACTGTGGAACATTCTAGGCAGAGCAGTGATGGACCCCCAACCAAAAAGTTACGTAGTGCATCTTTAACCTAAACCTAACCTAAAACGTGTGGTGAAATACCGCCATTTTCATTATCATATTCATTTGGTTTAAAAAAAACAACAACTCTATTCTGAAAATCACCGAATAAAAAAGTAACTGTACCGGAAAACAGTTACCAAAATTAGTATTCTGAATTTATTTTCTCAGTACATGTATTCAATTACACCCAAACACTGGCAATAATTGTAAATAATAAAGTAGATTTTATCAATAATGGATGGAATAACATTTTGAAATCAGTATAATAACTTGGCTTTTGGAATTATAACTACACTAAGACTAAACCGCAAGAGTCCAATTACATTTTCAAATTTTCCCGTGTTTTTGCAAATTAACGCTTCAAACTTAAGTCATTTAAACCTTTATAGTCGCGATGAAGTAATATAGATCATCAATAATATTATAGCGTATTAAAGGGTTTATTAAAGAGCTGTAGATCTTTCAGACAATTCTTTGGCAAGCCTCGTTTTTCAATATTGATTTAGTTAAAACAAATACAATGTCCACTTCGCTTATATGCAGTACAGTATGATGTGATGTTTCTTTTAAAAATATTACAATGAAATCTGCTTTTTTTTGCATTTTAAATTACAATTATCCCATTATATTAACAGTAATGGTTGAAGTGAGCTATAAAATCTACAGAATTTGCATTATTTAAGGGTTTTTCAATAATTATTAAATAAAAAAGTAGTATTTTTTTGTTTGAAGTGTACGCCACCTGCTTGTCTACATAGAGATGTTGTTGGAATGTTTCTCAGTATGGCATTAAATCATTCAATCCTACATCTGTTCATTTAATATTGCAAAAAAATATACCTTGGAAAACATGCATTCTTACAGTGAATGGGCTCGCCTCTCCACAGATTTGACCTGTTTGCGTCAGTGGAGATGGGGACGTTTTACGCTTTTGCAGTTAAACGTGCTCGGTTAAGCAGTGAGGTCTCCATGGTGACAAACAAGTGATGGACTTTATTCCTGAAAAGTTACTTAGGCTACGTTCAGACCGCAGCCTGAAGTGACCCAAATCTGATTTTTTTTTCGCCGCTATGTGACCTGTATCTGATCTTTTAATGACAGTCCGAACGACACAGATCCGATTTTTTTTCAAATACGACCCAGGCCACTTGGAAATGTGCTCCTAAAACCGATACATATCCGATATTTTGACATGCGACTTCAGTCTGAACGGACAGGTCACATTCATCCCACCTACACGTCAGGCTCGTCGATGGAGGGAAAGCAATGTTTTCGAGTTTATTATTATTATTATTATTTGGAGTAGGCATGTAACAATAACCGAAATATCGTGATATCGTATCGTCAAAGTTCTCACAATAATATCGTGGACCATCATAATATATCGAATTAAAAGCCTCTTTGCTTAAATTAAGAGTTATGGTGTAGAAATGGCTAAAAAAAAAAAGAAAAACAGAGGGAACTACATAGACCATGATCCTTTGCTCCATTTCAGTGCAGACTACAAGAAGAAATAACAGTTCTAAGCACTTTTAAGTCTTAGTTCTTTGGATAAATTTTTGTCAAGGCATTTTAAGAGGGAAAAGTAGCAGAGTAACAGTTTCAGTAGACTCCACAAAATATCGCAATAAATACAGTGAGACGTATATTGTGAAAATATTGTACCGAGAGATTTGGATATTGTTACATCCCTAATCCCTGGCCTCCGCACCGTATCATGAGCTTTCCCACGATATCACAATAATCGTATATCGTATCGTGACAATATCGTATCGTGAGACTTGGATATCGTTACATCCCTGACTTGGGGGATCACTGTATTCAGGCCAAATTGGAGGGGTGTTAT